TGTTCATTTGCTATTCCATTCTTGTATAAACGATTCAACAACAATTTACATTTATATTATACGAGCTCAATTCTATTGTTAGAATTGAGGAAAGACGTACCCGGAAGCGAGGACGGCGGGGGAACTGCCTCAACAAATCTTTGTGCCTTTTAATTTTTGCATTTTCATTTTGCTTAATATTTGTGTGAATTTCGTTCAAACAATAATATCGAATTAAGGACTGTTTTGAGTAAGCGTTGAAGTAATTTTGCCTATAGTACAATAGTTTATTGTACAAGGAAACTAATGCTACTTACTCAAAGCCGAAATCACTTGGAGTGCTTCGCACGCCAAGTGTTTGATAAATTGTTTGAACCAAAATTCTCGTGTGCTGTCCAATTATTTTGTTGGCATTTTGAGGCATTGGAACTAGTCATACCAAGTAGTGATATAAATCAATTGATAGTGTGACTAACATGGTGATTCTCTTTGCTCATTATCAATATCCATAGGCTAGACGCATATCCGATCCTCTAGTAACAGTTCATTATAGACGGTAGTTTTTCCACGGCCGCTTCCGCAATTTAAACAATTTTTTAAAAACCAATTTTATTGGTAGTGCCGACTGATTTTTTAATGAGGGATCTATTCAACCCCCTTCTAGATTCGTGCCAACGTCTAACATATAAAATATCAAGCGATGTGTCGATGCAAAGTTACCTTACAACAACAAAATTTTATTCCTATAGTATGAGTCGACGCATGGAGATCCAAGAGCAATAAATTGATCAATCAATATCATGCGTTGATCTCTACATGTCTGTGAGTCGACGCAAGGACTCTAGAATGCCAAAAATAAGTTTTTATGAGTATTTTGGTCGACCTAAACCATTTTTGTGTAGACCTAAGGTATCTAATATAATCAAGTGCACAAATATCATATATGAGATGCTTCTATATGCATATACACATGAACATGAAACATTTTATGCATATTAAATAATTAATGCAATCTAAGATGCGATGATACCGTCAAAAGTACAAGTACGAGATAATACTATTTTTGACATCATTAAAACAAGGACTAAGGAACCTCGCCCTCACACAATCTTTGTTGTAAACCACACTATGTTTCAGTAACTTGGCATAGTTGTTGATTTGTCTTAGTTGAGTTGTAAATTCAACATGTTTGTGTATACTACTCTATGTTTCAGTAACTTGGCATAGTAATTGGTTTGTCTTAGTTGAGTTTTAAATTTAACAATCAATAGATTTGTTATTGAGGTTGATCACTAGAGGTTAGTAGTTGATGAAAGTGAGTGGGCTCTCATGTTTAGAGAAAACACAATAAGATCTTGCATACCTACCAAGTAATCAATTGCAAGCTAAGAATATACTCAAATTTATGCCTACATTTTAAACAAATTTGTGTCAGAAATCATTTCTCTTACTACTATCCTCATTCTGTTGAGGACTAAGGATCTTGAACCAGTGATATTGATCTCCGTTACGATGACACGGGGTGGACCTACAAGGTTAGCACTCCAATGTTCAAGTCAATTCAAGATTCAAGATGAGTGTAGTGAAAAGTGAAGATCAGAGAATGTACCTTGCTTTTCTGTGTGAACTAATTTTATACCTTGGGTCAAGTTGAGTAGATTTTAGATGAATTTAGCGTTGGCTATTTGGATATTTGGGATTTTCCGGGCGCTGAGGGAGTTGGGGAAAACTTTAGTAATTTTGGTACCCCAAAGAATGTGTTATGATGGGAAATGAAGGCGAAACACTTGGATTCAATTTAAAAAAATAGTGGAGAACAAGAGTATTTAATGCGTCTCCATCGTTGAATTGTTTCATTGCTTGCTTATGGCACATTGATTGATGTGAAAAATTAGGGCATAGTGCAGCTTGTAATGCACTCGAGTCTGTATGTGTTTCCAAGGGACTTCTATTTATAGGCTAGAGGTTGACACAAAAAAGGAAAAATTTTAAGGGCAAGTTATGACTTGCCAGTTGATTGGCAACACACACCAATCAATTGGTTACCTTCAAATTAATGGATTACTATGCTCAAAAAGGAAAGTAAAGATATTTAGATTTTACTAGTCATTAATGCACTTTCCTAATCTATTAGGGTGCATTTTTGAACTTCTCCAATTGATTGCCACAAGGTGCCAATAGATTGACAAGAGCAAAAGTTTACACGTATCTTTTCAAACAGTTCCTAATTTGTCTGGCACAACTTCAAAGCATTTTTAGAAAAATTTTCTTGAGAAGATAAGTTTCTTGTTATGTGTGTATGCATGTGTGTGGGTGTGTGACTTATCCATGCACTTTTACGAGAAAGCTTTTATGTTGTACAATGTATTCACTCAAATAGGTCGAGCCAATATTTCATATACTTCAAGTCTTGTCAGGTGCTTCATCCTTATAGACACTTGTTTGAGTTTACTTTGGGATAAAGTTGAGTTATAATCCATTTGGTTGCCATCATCGGTAGAATCAAGTCCATCAATCCATAATACTATGGTTTGTATCTTTAACACTTTTACCGCTTTATGTCTGACTTTAATTATTCTCATCTTTAAGCACTTATTTATCATTTATTATTTGTCATCGTCAAAAGTATGTTCTATGGCCGACAAAACAAGGTTCCAAAGATCTTGCAAGATCGGCGAAACAAATGCCATATACAACAAGTGAGGATCAGGATAAGAAAACTAGTTATTTTTAGAAGTATCTTGTATCAAGTAGTTGTGTAATTTCTGTAAACAATTGCAATTTTGTTTAATAGTGGAAGAAAACAATTTTCAATGGGAAACCATTGAAAAATGGATTAAACTCCTATGATGATGATAGAGCTGAACCACTATATATTTGCATACTTTTGCATGCTTAAGCTTGTATCACTTTTGTAGAATAATATATTGTGAGAATTTATCTACTTATAGCGATTTCGTGATTAAAGTTTAGGTTTGTGATAAATCTATTTATTTGAACATTATCTCTTGTAATTATTGTTATATGTAATCTTGTTGTTAGATTGATCATTTGATTAATCAAATTCAATTTGAGTTTTGTGTGAAAATTGAATTATGATGATTGTTGAATTGTTTATTTAAGCAAATTTATATTTCTCAGTTGTTTTGATTTTTGATAAATCTGAATTAATTGAAATATCCATTTAACCGTATGTTTTATAACATCTTTGTCATCTTTCACTTCTATTTGTAATATGGTCTCATGGTATCAACAATTGGCCTCAGAGCTTCTAATATGAACATTTATATGTAAAACTCTAGACAATTTGATCTCCATATCATCCACCAAAATATATTGTCTCCATAAAAAGTAATTTTTGTAAATAATGAAAGAATTATTGACATCGAGGAAGATAACATTACTTATTTAGAGTACAACTGTCCTTGTAATAATTCAACTACTGTTAGAATCTTATATGTGTTGTTTAAGTTATTTATCATCACACAAACATGTGCTATGATTATAATATTATATATCCATATTTGACTGGCAACACATGAATTCAATTTGCTCACGTCCAGTTCTTTCTGAAATTCTTGTAGTAAATTAGACAATTCTCTTGCTTATTCATATTACACTACCATTTTTTTAATATATTCTCTCCTTCTTTTCTAATATTTATCATTTTTTTAACATATATCATATTTACTGTTTACCGTATTTATACAGGAATAATATTTTTTTTAAATAAAAAATATATTTTTATAAACAGTATATAAACAATACGGAAACAGTATTCATAAACAATATGTGAACAGTGTACGCGAACAATATCTGTGAACAGTAGTTTAAAGTAGTGAGATAAAATTAGTTAATGAAATGTAAAAAGTTGGTTAATAAAGTAATGAAGTTGGTTAATAGACGCCCAAAGTTAAAAATATTTTTAATAATAAACCAAAGTTGATTAATAAAGATACGAAGAATTGGTTAATAGACGTCCGGATATTAAAAAATAATTTTTAGCAACGAATAAAGTTAATTAATTAAATATAAAAGATTGGTTAATAAGGTTATAAAGTTGGTTAATCACGCAATCTTATATCAATATTATTTAATCTAAAAATAAAAATAAAAAATTAATTTTTTATATATATTTTTAAAATATATTATTATAATATTTTATCGGTAAACAGTGAAATGCGGTGTAAATATATGAATTTGGTGTAAGAATAACATTTTTTTATAGTAATCTAAATGTTGGAATTTTATCCATCCCTTAAAAGTTAAATAAAATGTCGCGTGTTTGAACTTGCATTCATATAATCCCATGTTCTTTTAACATTCAAATTCCTTCTTTGACAAAACATATTAAAAATATTATACTCTCATCTCTTAAAAGATGAATAAATTACATTATCCCTCATTTTTAGATTAAAATATTTATTTACATCTTATTTTATAAATTACTCTTCGATTGATTAAGTATTTTAGTTTAATTTAATATATTAAAATTTCTATGAGAAAATTCTCTTGAAATTGTCGGTGTCATGACCAACATGGTTTTTTTATATTAGATCTCGTTTAGTTGGTAATTTCTAATATTTGTCTCCTTTGCATTTCTTAGGGCTGTCTTGATGTTGATAGGAAATTCAATTTTCTGATATGGTGAATTTTTATTTCCCTAATTCAAAAAATTGGGTAAAATTATTCTTAGTGTAAAACGCTCACAACAAAACAAAATTATACTATTTAATAAACAATTAAATACGTTAGAATTAAATAATATATTATGATTGATTAAAAATACACTGTTCAAATTTTATTTTTTAATGATGGACAGAAAAGTTGTACTAATACCCAAACATTCATAACATGTGTTGATATATTCTTTCCTTTCTCTTTCATATAATAATTTATTGATCTTCCCATGCAAGTGACCTGTGTAATCATGTCTATATATATCATCGCTTCTGTTCTATCTCCAACATCCTACTCAATTATAATTCCACACTACTCCTTCTTTTCCACCAACCTCAAAAATGCCTACACTAGTATCTCAAGAATTCCAAATTCCCAACTTGAAGTCCATTTTGTGTGCTTCAGGAGTGAAAGGCAAACAAGTCACAACTCTATCCTCACAAATTACCATCTCTGATTTCATTCAATCCATTATAGAAACCAAATCAACTGAAATTGATTCACCATTCAGTGTCCTTGATTTAAGAGTCGTCATTGACCTCATGAACAAATGGTTAACTAAACTTCCAACTGTTAAACCTTTCTACGCTGTTAAATGTAACCCAAACATTTCACTTCTAGGTACACTCGCTTCACTCGACTCTAATTTCGACTGCGCTAGTCGCGCCGAAATTGAGTCTGTTTTGTCTCTCGGAGTTTCACCCGACCGAATCATTTACGCTAATCCGTGTAAATCTGAGTCACACATTAAATACGCTGCAAGTGTCGGTGTTAATGTAACAACCTTCGACTCCGTTGGAGAAGTCGAAAAAATAAAAAAATGGCACCCCAAATGCGAGCTGCTCCTTCGGATCAAGCCGGAGGAGGACAGCACTAGCGGCGCAACAACGTGTTTGGGTCTCAAATACGGCGCGCTTGAGGATGAAATTCCCGAGCTTCTCAAAGCTGCTGACATGGCCGGACTTAAAGTAACCGGCGTGTCGTTCCATGTAGGCAGCGGAGGAGCCGCTGCCAAAGCTTACCACGGAGCCATTTCTTCGGCTAAAAAAGTTTTCGAAACGGCTTCGCGGCTTGGAATGGCGAAAATGAAAATTCTTGATATTGGTGGAGGATTTATTTCAGGATCGAAATTCGACGAAGCTGCATTAAACATAAACGATGCAATAAAAACACATTTCGGAAATGAAGAGGATGTTGTTGTGATTGGTGAACCCGGTCGTTATTTTGCAGAAACATCGTTTAAGTTGGCAACGAAAGTGATAGGGAAACGTGTAAGAGGTGAATTAAGAGAGTATTGGATTGATGATGGAATATATGGAACTCTTAACAACATTCTCTTTGATTTTGCTACTGTCACATGCATGCCACTTAGGTTTGGTACTTCAAAATCTGAGAATGTTTCTAAAACTTACTATCCTTCGACGGTTTTTGGACCAACTTGTGATTCGGTTGATACAGTTCTGAAGGATTATGACATGCCTGAACTTGAGGTGAACGATTGGCTTTTGTTTCCTAATATGGGTGCTTATACAATTTCTTGTGGAACAAATTTCAATGGGTTTGGTTCATCGGTTAAGAACATTTACCTTGCATGTTCAAGTTCAAGCTATGTGGCACGAGAACAGAACAGGTTCTGATGAATTGTGGTATGCTACGTAATGTTAATCGCATGTTTTTGTTTAATTTAAGATATGTAATATTCTATTTTGGGGAACAGAGTTAATAATAAGGCATGGGTGGGAGTGGGATTCGTAGTGTTAAAGAATAATTGTTCCTTTCAATTTCTTCATTTGGTATTATTACCTTACCAAAAGCTATTTTATGTACTTTACTTTTTTGGTAAACCTATTTATCATTTGAGATTTAGAATGAAATTGTGTACTTTCCGTTTTTTTGACAATGTATTACTTCACATATTATTAGGGTGAGATTCATTTTAGTCTCTCACAAAAATTAGAGAGTCCAAATTAATCTTTAAAAAGAAAAAAAATTCATATTAAATTCCTTGTAAAATTTGATCGAATATATTATTCCCTCTATTAATATTTTTCTTAAATCGACTTGCGCTACCGCTAAAACAACATATTTTATTTGTTTTAACTTACAAATAACACTTATATCAACACAATTTCATATTATTTTTTAATTATTAGCAATACTTAATACATTTTGATCCCTAATAAAAAAAATACACTATTTAATCCCTTACAAAATTTAATTAGGTCTTGATCCCTAAAAAAAATATACTATTTAGTCCCTTAAAAAAAAATACACAATCTAAAAAGTACACATGTTCAATCATATATTATACTACCATCACATTGAAACCTGAGAGAAAAATTTCTACCTTACCATCACATATATTATATATGTACCATCAAATTCAAAATATTATAGTACCATCAAATTACAAAACATTGTACAAACAAGTAGAACTTCAAAATCTAAAATATCTACTATCACCAAACTAAACAAAACAAACAAAGTGCCATAAAATTGTAATGAACGTTGAAAAATTACAGAGTATTCTAAGTCATAACCACCAAAGTTGAAAAGACCTTTGTTCGGAGATTTGTAACAAACCAACCAAAATTTTCAGTTTTAGAGTTTTAAGATTTTTGAATTCTTGCATAGCTATGATAACATGATCAAAGTGATAGGTCAACGTACATATTACCTTCTCAAATATCATCTTATCAGTTATGGTTTCACCTTCATGAGATGGATGAGATTCTGCACCTTCGACACATAACCTATAATCTTTTCATCTTCTTCCATCTGCAGCAATTCATACTGACGTCACAAATGTCTGCAATTTGACGACTTTGACTTTCTCACCTCCTTTATAGTACTTGACAAGAATATTCCATGTCTCATTCGTCAATTCAGCATGAGAGATCTTGTCCAAATTCTCTGAATCGACCGTCGATTTAATGTAATACGTAGCCTTGCAGTCTTTCTTCTTCACCTATTTGTCCGCGTCTCTCTTAGTATTAGTTGCATTCTCACCAAGCTTAGAGACGCCATTAATAACCCCTTCTAGGGTTTCATGAAAGCCTAACAAGGATTTCATCTAGTTGCTCCATCGGTTCTAACTTTTGCCATCAGGAGTTGGAAGAGAATTTAGAATACCATTAGTACCATTCATCTTTGCAATAATTGATTAACAATCTACGATCTCGGAAACATGGCCACCGACGTGTGATTATTGAAAATACGATCAAGAAATTAAACGAAGGTCTAGATACCAATTTGTTAGTGCACAAGGCACTTTTATTGAAGAGAGAAAAAATGAGAAAGAATGAAAATAAGAATTTATATTATTGAATCATGATTGTACAACTGAATTACAAAATATGTCTGCTTATATACAACTAACTTGTATACTAAGTAACAAACCCTAAACTTTATTAACTTTGGATTTGGATACACAACTTGAATTATATTAGAACAATGTCAAGCCTTTAACCCATTAAAAAGTAGAAATTTTAAAGAAAGACATTATCAGCCTATTTAATTTGTATAAAATTCTTCTCAACGTCAATAGGAAGAGAGTAAAAAAATTAGAGAATTATAAGTGAGAACCATGTCAGTAAAAAAATGAGCACATGAATTTCCTTCTATACATGTGAGATATGAAAAGATGTCATACAAATGTTCCAACTAATTCTTACTTTTCAAGGTATCCATGATTGTTTGTGGAAAGCTTTCAGTTTCAATCCATTGCTCAGACCAATCCTTATGCATTACAAATGAAAAGGAATACTTATTTAAAAGGTTGATGAGGACTTGGATTTTAGAAATCTTTCCTTGGTAGAAAATTAAGGGTGTGTTTGGTTCGGGGTAGATGGAGGGGAGGGGAGGGGAGCAAAATCCCTCAAAAACACACTTTTTGGTTCCCTCCGAATTGGGAGGATTTGGAGGGGAGGGGAGGGAATATGAGTTTTGATATTTAAAAATTATTATATTTACTAAAATATCCTCAGTTTAATTTCAGTATTTCAAAACTATTTGTTATCTTTTGTGTTACTGTTTTTTCTCGATTGTTTTCATCAACTTATTATAATTGTTCTTCACCTTCAAATTATTTTATAATTTTTATAATTAATATAAATCATGATCATTGTCTTTTTTTTATAAAAAAAATTATGTTTCGTTATATTCGTTTTTTTCTTTTAATTTTGTTATGTACTCTATCATATTTTCTTTTATATCAAATTGTAAACCATATCATTTTATTTATTTTTGTTTATTCATTTTATTAAATATTTTGAACCATTAATATTTAGTAATAAGTTATTTTATATATTTGTTTTGTTATATGATTCATCACAATTTAAACGATGTTATTGGCATATAGTTTAATTTATGTTGAAAAGTTATAAGTCGAATCGATTGTACTCAATTTTTTAACTTTATGCGACAAATAAATACTTTTTTAATCACTCAATATTAAAAAATTTATTACCAACAAAAATACGCAGGAATTTTTCACATTTTAATATCATATGACTTATATAAGCTCATAAGGATAAAAATATAAATTATTAATAAAACCCCTCCCCTCCCCTTCTGAACCAAACACATTTTTAATTAAAATTCCTCCCCTCCCCTCCCCTTCTCTCTTTTGAACCAAACACTTATTTGATTAAAAAATTCCTTCACCTCCCCTCCCCTTTATTAAAATCCCTCCCCTCCCCTCCCCCTCATTTGAACCAAACAGACCCTAAGATGTAATCTGCATACATATCATCTATCCAATTGCATAACAAGGAGCAATTTTTTGAAGGGACATTTCATGTGAAAAAATGGATAACATTACGTGAAAGAGAAAGAGAGGGAAGAAGAAGATGAATTTTAGGTCAACCGTATTTTCCAACTTTCTTAGAGCGCCATTTTCCTCACTCTTGTACATTGGCTAGTTAATTTCTGATAACTATTTAGAAAGAGTAATTAAACAACTTTTTTCTCTTCATTTTTATTGGCTCAATTAATAAATCCATATATAAATAAATGTTATTGAATGTAATAAAATAAAACTATTTATAGATCTATTATTATTAAGGTACGACGTGGTTCTGTAAAAAGTACTTATTAAAATGTATGAACTAATATTTTGTAAATTCTTAGGCTATTCTCTTAAACACTATTTTATTTCTCTCTTAATATATATATATATATATATATATATATATATATATATATATATATATATATATATATATATATATATATATATATATATATATATATTAAAAATATTATAATATTCATAAAATTGAGATTTTGGACCTTCATGTGATAATATAAAATTTTGACGGGAGTTGTTTCATTTGGACATTATGAGACCAATGTTAGGGATAACGTTATTTGGAGAGGCTGCTAATTGAGATTAAGGCTTTAACGATGAGTTATCCAAGAAGAGAACAACTCTGATTGTTGGGTTAATATATCTTTTGTCACAAGTAAGAGATACTCAAAGTGAGTTTATCCTCTTTTGATCTTGCATGGGTATTGCCAAACTCTTTTTTGGCCTTTGAATGTGTCACTTGAATTATATGGAGAATGAAAGTATTTGGTTTGATAAAAATTTGTGAAGGGAGGTTGAAGACATCGTAGTTGATGGAGGTCCTTTCTTTAGGGGCCTTCAATTAATGGTGGATTATTTACCTATTAGAGTTAAGGGAATGGATTTGTACTTGATAATAAAGGTTATCTCATAAACGTTTGTGGCTTCTAGGCCCAATATTGGCTGTTACAAGATCATATATTATAAGAGACAGTGAGATATATGGTATAGACTTTAATTTGGACAGAACTTTGGTTGGTCTTATTGCTATCATTATAGATTTTGACCTTAGTAGTTTTACTAGCAAGAACATCGTCCCTCCTAAAGCACAACACGTTTTGGTGAGTGTCATTTTTAGAAAAATTGTTTAGAACATAAATGCAAAGTTTCACATGAGCATACGACAGAAAGTAGTTTTTGATTGTTTGCAAGCAACACATGCTCATGATTTTCTCCTTACTATCAATATTGCTGCTCTTGGCCAACATATATCACTCTTAGAGTATTGTATCATTCTTAAATACCGGCTTATTTTTTGTTAATGAGGTTTTTCCTATTTGTCGTAAGGCGGCTTGAATACATTTGGAGAATACTCCATTCATTATAAGGAGTTTCTAGGATTTAAATATTGATATGACTTTGTTAGAGATGTCTTATTTGATATATTTTGATGTGTTGAATATTTATGAAAAAATAGGCGTTTGTGAATTTCTTGACTGACTGACAAAAGGGGAGATCAACACCTAAGTCAACAGATGTGTTGGTGTCCGAGTGGGTAGGAGGGAAAAATGCATGTGTAGGCTTGATTTGAGTTTCCCTACTAGTGGAGTTGAGAATTGTAGGTTTTACATGTGCGACATATAACTCTCAAAGCGATTTTGAATACAGTGGTCAAACATGAGAAAGTCTGTTCCGATAATCAACATGCTTTCATACCATTTGACTTTGAGATTTTTTATTTTCTAGCAGTAAAATCAGTGAATTTTTTATATATAATACAAAGGCTCATGCATATTAATGTTGTATCTCTTTGAATAATAAATGTAATTTTCAAAAAAAACTAATTTT